GAAGACTCTATTTAGTGTAAATATGGTTTTAGGTTTTGGGCCTTTGTTTTGATAAATTTTACAACTCTAAACAAAAACCTCATTTGGTGGGACAATTGTGGCCACTCTCAGGAGGTAGAGCATCGCTCTAGTATGGAGATTCACCATTTGAGCCTCGTAGAGCCTTCTCTTCATTTCTTCCCTTTCTTTTTTTTGAACTCAGCTAAAATCATATAATTTCATCAAAACTATACATCATCTACATAAAAATTCTTACCTCAATGATAAGAACTAATGACAAACCAATAAAGCACAATTGGAGATAAAATTCAAAGTAAATCAAGTTCAGCAGATATAACGAAGGGTAATGAAATCACACAAATAACTTTTAAAGAGATTAATTTACAAATTCCTTTAGTCCAGAAGCACTGGATACCCTTCCATCTACTCTTTAAACAGATAAATCTATGCTCCAGGATGCCGTGACTTGGAGATCAAAGCTAGCAGCGGTCAACCTGGAATTTCTTCTTACTTATCCTATTGGCCACCAAATCTGAACACAAAAAAAGAAAACAAGGAACATAAAACGAAAGAAAATAGAGACCACTTGAAGGGGCCACAAAAGAAGCTGGTAGACCACGCAAGGTGGTCACCAGACAAAGGAGCACAACTAGCTGGCTCCAACATGCTTGTGAAGCCAAAGGGCTTCCAAGCACCAAACAAATTCAGGAAGCCAGAGGCTTCGGAGCACCAAAACTTGAGATATGAGGAGGAAAAAAAATTCTCTATTTGCTTATATAAAAAAATTTGGAGGGAGGGGAGGAGAAATTTTTTTTTATTTTATTTTTAAAATTTAGTTATTTATCCATATGAGGAGAAGGGAGGAAAATTATTTTTAGGGGAATGGAGGGAAATAATTCCCCTCCCCTCCCTTCTCCTTTTCTCTATTCTCTTCAACTTGAATATATGTTCAATTTGATTAAGGGAATAAAATTTTTTAATTTTAACACAGATTAAAAGTATATTTATTTTATGTTTTTATCATTAATTTATATAAAAATTTTAAAAAATAAACTTTATTTTTAACACTAATATCATATAAAATAATTGAATTAAATAATTAATAAAACTTAAGTCAATTTTTATTTTTTATATGTAAATTAATAGTAAAAAGGTGAAATAAATTTACCCTTAACTTGTGATATAACTATATAAGCATAGAGGTTAGAAAATTACTAATTGAATTAAATCTCAGTTATAAACAATTTATCATGATCAATTAAAATTAATTAGATGCAATTAATTACCTTAATTAATTCTAATTAACTTAATTGAATCTTGGTTACTCCAAATTAGCTTAATTGAATTTCAATAAAGTTAATTAAATTGATTAAGGTAATTAATCAAAATCAATTAAAATTAATTAATTTAATTGATTAATTGATTATTATAGCCTAATTAAATGAAAATAGAAAGTTGGGTCAAGTTTGGAGGGCCTCGGCCCCATTTCATTTTTAGCCTTTCTCTCTCTCTCTCTTCCCTTTTTTTTAAAAAAAATAGAAAATATGAAATAATAAGAAAAATTTCAAGCCCAGCCGCACCTGTCAGAGCCCAAAACGGAACCAGCCCCACCCGACCCTAACATAATGACAGCACAAGCAAAGCATTTCCGACCCGAACATAATAATAGCATAGCAATTTTCTTACCATCTTAAGCTGTTGTATTCAAGGGAGTTGATACCGTTTCATATCAATCAGTATAGCTAGTACGTATCAATTCTTCTATTAATTCGAAATGATACAAGTTTCAATTTGATTTTGGCTAAAATTTAAATGTTTTAGTCAATTTTTAATGTACTGATTAATATTTTATGTATCAGTCCATACACCAAAATTAAATAGTATAAATCAGTTCAAATTAAAAAAAAAAAATCCACAAACAAAATGACATCGTTTTGGCTAGGGGAGGCTTAAATCTCCAACCGAAACCCTTTCAACAATTTTAGATTTAAACTTCCAATTCTCCTCAGTGCTTGTCGATTGCTGCTTTCTCTTCCAACTTTATTTCTTCCACTTTCTAAGCAACAACGGACATATAGGTTGATTTTATCACATATCATATTTTGATAAGTTTTTTCTTTTTATTTTTAATATTTCGTATTTGCAAAATTTATATAATGGTAAAAACGATTTCAATTATAGTGAGTTTATATGCATTTGTTGATGTTTTTGAATTTTTCTCTATCAACCTGTAATCTCTTTTGAAGATTGAAATTATCAACAATTATTATCATCATATGTAAACCTGGTCAATGATCATCAATAACAACCAGTTACAGGTTTTAACTTCCAATCATGGGGCAGGACCAATTATATGCATATCCTGCTAATTATATATTTTTTGTGATAACAATGAGCTAGAATCCAGAATCTTCTAATTGTAAGAGCTGCCACTTTTTTCCTTCACTAACCTTACAAAAATTAATCTCAAAACACTGTTATACTTGCTAATATTATCTTAATATTCTAAAGAAAACAACAAAAAAATTATGCATGTTTTATAAAGTTGGTCATTTTAAA